GCAGGCTGGAAACTGGACCAGGTGGATTTATTTGAGATCAATGAAGCATTTGCTGCTCAGTCGGTGGCTGTAATCAATGAGCTCGGACTAAATGAAGACAAGGTAACATTCAGGTTTTATTTTCAGTGTCGATCAAAGGCCTTTGGAGCCGTCCCTCAACGTTCTGTTCAAGAWATTGTCATGAAATGTTCCGAAATGATCCACCTTGTTTTTTATTGGAAGCATTTTTGTATCCTAAAAAAAAACAAACAAAAGTGCGTTACAGAACTCAGTAAAAGTTGCAGAAAACGTCATAAAATTATGTATAAAAGGCTCGGGTCACTGCAACATCAAATCTACTTGAAACCCACGTAGTCGTGGGCACACTTCAGCTAACGTGGAACTAGCTTCTCTTTAGTTTCTYTATTCATTTTGGACCGATTAGGTTAGCTAATTTTAAGTCAACTAAAAATATTCCGAAGTGATAAACTTTTATTTTTACGTCATTTAATTGTAAATTAATTTTATTCCAAATGAAATAAAAACTATCCCCTCTTATAAGCAGAGCTGTACCTGTCAGGCACCATGTAACAGCTTTAGCAGCTAAACTTCAAACTAAGAGCGTCAGAAAGAAAACAATATTCAACACATAATAAATACAAAAATTGACTGTATAAAATATGGAAAAGGTATTTGCTATTTGTTGTTTGACTGACGTCAAACAGTATTTATAAAAATACAAACTTGAGCAAAGGTTAGTTATGTACAGATCAATACTGAAATATCGATACTACRGATAGCGGGAATTTATGTTCTAGAATCGATACTAAAATCAAAATATCGTTACTTTGATACTTTAGTTATTTCACATAATATATATCATTAACAGGAAAATAGTGGAAAACAACTAAACTATTCCAATCACGTCTAAATCGTGGCTGGAGGGAACTACTTTTTCTTCCGCTTGAGTAATACATAAGCACAGTGGCACGTGTTCAGTCAGTCACTGTCTGTAGAAGTACGGCAGGTCATTTTAACATAAAATCTGCTTTGACTGTCTGTAATTACATTCTAGATGAGGGGTTCCCAAACTTTTTCATGCCATGGCCCCCCAAACAGCGTTAGCTCTGGCCAAGGACCTTCTTGCAAACCAACAAACAATGCTACAAAAATACAAAGTAACAACTTTTAGATTATTTTTTGTCACTTTTATTCACAATTCAAAAATTATTATATACAGAATAAGAATTTAAAATTGTGCTAAAAAATGTAGGGTTAGGGTTAGAAAGTCTTTTAAATTAAATAAATTACTATGTCATATATTATTTATAAAGCGGTTATTTGAAAACCACTACTTTTTAAGATTAACCAGATAAATTATGTGTGTTATCACAAAGTGTCAGCATCGGATCAGTTTTGCCGAGACCAGCCACGTTTTACTTGGTATCAGTATCGGTAAGAAAACTGGAAGTATCGAACATCACTAGCAAAGGAATGCTTTTACTCTGAAAGGGTTAAACTGTTTGGATTGGCCGATTTGCCACAGATGATCCCACCCACCTTTAAATTAAACCAACAGAAAATAAGACTAGCGGTTAGCGCTAGCTTCCACTAATATTTCTATTTGTTTAGCGGTTTAGCGTTAGCGTAGCTAAAGATCCTTATGTAGCAGGTTAGTGCTTAGTGAACCGAAGTTATTAGTTATACCCGGCACTGCCCTCAACCAGTGTTTCTCTGTAATCAGTCTTGACTGTTTTGTTTAGGTGAACGTGAGCGGCGGAGCCATTTCTCTGGGTCATCCCATTGGGATGTCTGGCTGCAGAGTGCTGGTAACGCTGCTGCACGCGCTGCAGAGGACCGGAGGAAGCAAAGGAGTGGCATCGCTCTGCATCGGCGGAGGGATGGGCATCGCCATGTGTGTGGAGAGGGTCTGACGGACCGCTCGCTGATCGTACTTAATTTCTTTTAATGAAAAAGGGATTATGAAATCTGTTTACAATGAATATTTAAATCAAAGGTGAGGTTCACCTTGTGGCTGCTGTGCAAACTTGAATCCCTTGTAGAAGCCATCACTGTGAATTTAATTCAAATTCCTCAGAATTAAGATGTAAAACACAGAATTCAGTATCTTAATGTGTACACTTTTACATTACTGCAAGTTTTGTGAATATCTGGCAGTTAATTCGTTAGCTGTTAAGAAAATATTTTTAATTAGCTTTTAGTTACTAATATAGCTGCATATTTGTGATTAAAGTTTAATAAGTTTACATTAACATTCCTAAGCTGTTGTGTAGAATAAACTAAACTTTGTAACGGTGCATAAATAAGCTTAAACCTCAAAGTGCCATAATATTTAACAGGTTTGTATTTAACCATGTGCTTCCTGAAGCCCAGTATGTTACTGTAATCCAGTCAATTTACATCTGATTATTTCGTCAGTTTAACAAATAAACAGCCGTTTAACCACTGAAGCTTTATTGTGTCCATAAACAAAACAATCACAGATTCTTTAGAAGCATTAGCTCCAGAACTGATGGGGAGAGAGAAGAGGGAAGCAGAAAAGTGCACAGCCTACAGTAAACAGCCATGAAAAGCTTGTTAACCTATAAATACACATGTTGAAATGGACCGATCAGTTCTGTAGAGATCCCGACTGCACTGCATCTGCGTATGAATGCCCGCCTTCTTTTGGCTCTGGGAACAGTTTGATGAGGTCATCGATGCGGAGGATGGTGATGGCGGCCTCTGTGGCAAACTTGAGGCTTTTCGTTTTGACCATGGTGGGTTCGTACACGCCGGCCTGCCGGTTGTCTCTGGGTTTGCCGTTCAGCAGGTCCAGACCGATCCTGCAAGACAAAAAAAGGTTCAATCAGAAAATCAAAGCTGTGAAGACGTGAAACTGAAGTCCTGTAAAATTACAAGACGCCTCACACTTAAATGTCAGTGTAGATCAGTAGTCCCCGAACTTTTTATCTTATGACCCAAAAAGTATCCATGGCAAAAACTTGTGACCCCAAATATTACTGGTCAGAGGACACGAACTTTGTTAATAACCCTAAAAACACAAGCTTTTTGACAACCTAAACAGCTTGTACACAAATACTTATTTATAATTTTTTGTGTGTTTTTGTAATAGTTATAGGGAAAATATTACATTAGCAATTGTTTTATTATCCTTTAAATTGATTTCTGGAGATTATCCAAGGTGCTTCATGACCCATAATTGGGTCCCAAGCCCAGCTTTGGGAACCAAAGTGCAGTGGTTCCCAAACTTTTCAGCTTTTTAACCACAAAATAACAGTAGCAGAGACCTGTGCCCCCAGCTATTTTTGGATGATAAACATTCGTATGGGCATAGTAACAATATTTTTATTCTACATTTATCCATTTTAAATATACTAACCTCACTCC